ATATATTTTCACTTATTATTTATTTAAATATACAGATATGATCTGTCTTATGTAAGTTGATCCTGTCTTTCAAACTTACAAAAATAATTTATTATGCCTACTTCTTTGTTGAAGTCTTCAATTTGTGTGTGTATATGTAAAAAAGTTGGACATTTATTAATAGACCCATGGCCAAATGAGCATTTTATGTACATGTAATTTTTCTATCTCCTTAGCAATGTACGTAACTCCCATTTCAGCTCTGAATAGTGAGAAGGGATGCTGGCACTCAAAACATGGAGTTTTATGATAGTCTTTTATCATTAAGAACCGTGTTCAGTATGTGATTTTTTTTTTTACTTTGTTCTTTGACTAATTAAGGGTGGTAGATATGATCTCCATTTTCCTGAAAACCTTTTGTCAATCATTTCCTTTTGGCATCTATAGAATTCTGTATTTCCTTTTCAGTGGGATGATGAATTATGCTGATTGCTTCAAATGTTAAACCAGTTTAACATACCTAAATAAATTCAAATTGGTAATGATACATTGTTTATGGAGTGTTGAATATAATTTGATACTTTTGATGATTTAAAAATAGTGTTGATCTGCAGCTGGCTTCTCTTAATATCTGTTGTTGATGCATCAGGAACTTTTCAGCTCATCGACTGGATTCAGAAGCATTGCCTCTTTTTCAATTTACTGAATTTTGGGGGGCGTGTCATCATAGTTCTTAATTGACCAAGCCATTTAAACTAGGAATTGTATTTGTTTAAAGCTACTTGGTTATAAGTTACTTTTTTAAAAAGATTTATTTATTAAGTATACAACATTCTGCCTCCATGTATGCCCACACATCAGAAGCGGGTGCCATATCTCATTACAGATGGTTGTGAGCCACCATGTGGTCGCTGGGAATTGAACTCAGGACCTCTGAAAGAGCAGTCAGTGCTCCCAATGAGCCATCTCCCCAGACCTATAAGTTACTTTTTAATAAATGTTGAAAACCCAGTCTGCTTGTTTCTTTCCATTTGAGTCATGTTTGTCAACTATCTTACATGAAATCATGCATTTCATACAAGTTTTAAACATATAAATGTATATAAAACATAATGTATATATAATTATTGAGGAATATGTATATATGTGTGTATAAATTATATACATATTATAAATTATGTACACACAATATACATACATATATGTGTTGCCTGAGTCTCCTTTTTTAATCAGCAAATGCTGGTAATTTGTAACACTTCATTTTATTGGTCAATCTGAATTTATGTTATAATGATTTTTCAATATTTGTCAACTTGATAAAATCTACAGTCTCCTGGGATGAGAATCTTAATGAGGATTGTCTGCTATTGTTAGGCTTATGGGTATGTCTATGTGTTGTTATCTTAAGATAATAGGTTTGAAAATCTGGCCCACTCTGGTTGGCATCATTTCTTAGCTACAGGTTTATGACCAGCATAAGAGAGGAAGAAAAACAAGATGTGAGAGAGCAAGGTAGCAAAGATCCATGGATCAGGATATTTTTATCATAATAATGCAAATAAAACCAGAATATTATTTATAAAGCAATAACAAAAGAGAAACAAAGTCAATTAGGGTGATTAGGGATGTGAAGGTAGAGTGGACATGGAAGGAGTTGGAGAGACAGTGAATAAGACCAAAGTACCTCATATGAAATTCTCAAAAAGGCAACAAGAACATTCTTTAGTATATATATTGGCTGACTTTTGGGATCCTATCCCTCATATTGGATTGCCTTGCCCAGCCTTAATACAAGGGAAGGTACTCAGTCCTACCACAACTTCATATGCCATGCTTTGTTAATAACCAGGGAAGGTGCCCTTTCTGAAAAGAAACAGAGGAGGAGTGGATTGGAGGAGCAGAGGGCATGGGGGAGGGAATAAGAAGGGAGAATTTGGTTTGGATATAAAATAAATAAATTAATCAAAATTTTAAAAGACCAAAAAGCTCAACAATTTGTGTTTAATTTTACACATAGTAATTAAGTTCTGTTCTTTAAAAGTGTGTTTGTGTGTGTGTAAATATGTGTGTATGTCCCCTAAGAGGGTATCTGATCCACCATAACTGAGGTTACAGATGGTTGCAAACTGCTGGAAGTGGATGCTGAGTTCTCTGCAGAAGCAGGAAGTTCTCTCAACTACTGAATCCTGTTTACAAACTTAACTTTTACTTTTTAAATTGAGGCTTTTGTAAGTCCCAAGTCCTGGTTTCTGGCCTCCATCTTTGGAGGCCCTGTCCCTGTGCCCGCCAAACCTTGACCCCTCCCATGAGGAGTGTCAAGACTAGCCCCCCAAAATCTTGGCCACTTCCCCAGTCTACTTAAACTGCTTCCCCAGAAGGTTCCCTTGTGGTCTCTTTCCTCTCCCCCCTGGTGGTCGCATTTGTGTCCTCCTGGTTCCCCCTTGGGGCCACCTAAGAGCACAGAAATCCCATTAAACCTGGATATTTTTAATTTGTCTTGTGATTTGGCATGGTTTGGATTTTTGCATAGCAGCGAGCTCATGTTAGGAAAAAATTCTAACATCTTGGAGGCCCCACTGGGATGGGCAGCCTTTCAGTGTGGCCCTAGGTCATGTGTCGAAACTGCCCTAGTCCACAGTCTGAACCCTCCATGCCTTGCTAAAACTGGCTCCCGGGCTACAGTGGCTGCATCTTGGTGAGAACCTTTTTCTTGTCTATGCTATAAGGTTTTAGGGGGACCCATTCTTACTTACTCTTGTTGATTATCAGACTCTTATTGAAGCTGCGAGCTCATGCCAAGAGTTCCATCTCAGCAGTGGCTAGACCGGCAAGACTGGGTCTGGCTGAGATGGACTTTGTTTGCTTTAGGGACTCCTAGCATTCAATTTCCACAGTCCCTTTAGGCCTAAGAGCTATTTTAGTGGGTGCACTGTAGTAGACTTAGGCCACTTGGTGGGCATAGACTTTGAAATGGGCACTTGCAGTTCAAATCCAGATCCGCTGTCGTCCCTAAGATGCCTCTTACAAAATCTTTATATATTGAGACTATCCAACACAATTGTGTCCCTAATGACTAATTTCCCTACACACTAAGATTTGACCTCAACTGTCCTCCAGGACCTTGAAAACTTTTGCTGCCATAATGACAAATGGGCAGAGCTTACATATTTCTATGCTTTTTGAGCTCTGTGTTCTCATCTTTCCCTTAGTAGCCAGTGTCTTTTTTTATGATTTTTTTAAAAATGCTGCAAGATCCCCATGGCAGTAGGCAGGCAGCAGGCCCTGAGAGAAGCCAGTCCCAGACAGAGATGGCTGCTGGTCCCCAAGCAGTGGCTGGTCTCAGGCAGGGAGACACATGGTGGGCAGGCTGTTCCCAGCTAGTCCAGGGGTGTGAGCAGGTGGTGGGTAGAAGGCACATGGACAGACATCATATAGAATAGAATTGGATATTTATTACTTAGGGGAGGGGGGAGAGAGAGAGAGAGAGAGAGAGAGAGAGAGAGAGAGAGAGAGAGAGNAAGAGAAAGGAGAAAGACAGAGAAGAAAGCAGGAGATAGGGAAGCATGCACACCAAAAGGAACATTGAGAAGCTAAGATGGTGACAGGAGGGTGGGGCCCCACTGGAAGTGGGCATGGCTTGTCTCTTAAAGAGATGAAAACCATAATAGTCTTGCAGCACCTATCTTGGTTGCTAAGGCCACAACACCTCCAAATTCCCAGTCATCTGGGAATTGGGACTCTGACAATCCAGCTAGACCATGCAGCCAAAGGCACTGGCCCCTCCCTCACTCCCTCAAATCCACACTATCCAACCCCCTCCTGTGGAGCAACATTCTTCACATTCCTCTCCTTCACTCTGTTTGTACTCTTTCTTCCCAGTCCAGAGGCTCAGGTTCAATTTCCACCCCCCACCTTCCCCTCCCCCTCCTACCTCATCTCCCCACCCTTGGACCTTCTCTACTTACTGGGTTAGCCCCTTCCAATCCTTCCCAGTCTCCTCCCATACCAGATCCCACCATAGCTCCGCCCTTCTCTTCCTCTCTTGGAGGTGGTGGGAGTAATGGCATTATGAAAGTTCATGTTCCCTTTTCTCTTTCAGATCTTTCTCAGATTAAAAAAAAAAAAAAGCAGCTAGGTTCCTTTTCTACTAATCCTTCTGCCTACCCATTTTATTTCTCTGTCACAACCAGATATTAGGAAAATGTTAAGAAAGATTAAGGAGGGTCCCCAAACCCTTATATGGAATTGGTGAAAATGGCCTTTAAAGTTTTTAATGCCTGAGAAGAATCAGTTGAGTCTTCCCAACAGACAAGGCTACAACAGGCAGCTACCCTACAAGCTCAGGCTTTAGCAGTTGCCCTAAGGTTGCAGGAAAGTGACTAGGGAAGCCAACCACAAGGCTCCACCCTGATGGAGCCCAGCCTAAGTTAACCTCACAGGCAAGCTGTTTCAAGTGTGACCTAAATGGTCATAGGGCATAATGTTGCACTATGCCTCCTCCGAGGTTTTGCCCTATCTGCCAGCAACCTGGACACTGAAAATCACAATGCTCCCATGCAGGCTTGTCCTCTGTGCTGTGCCACAGAGGTCCGGCCTCACCAACATCAGCAAGTGAAATTGCGCCAGCCTTCAAACTTCTCAGGCTTGTAGAGGATTGACGCTGCCCAGACTTGGCATTTTCCATAACCCTATCCAAGCCTAGGGTAAGGCTGCAAGTAGCAGGTATGTCCATTACTTTTTGGACATGGGAGCTACCTATTCTGTTCTAACATCTAACTCAGGCCTTACATTCCTCATCAAGTTCAGTTATGGGGGTAGATGGGATCCATTCTTCTCCACTTAAAACTTTGCCACTGCCCTGCATTCTTGCAGGACAATTTTTCTCTCGTTCTTTCTTAGTGATACCTGCTTGCCCAGCACCTTTACTGGGTCGAGATAACCTGAGTGGCTTCTCCAATGCTTTGGTCTCCTTCTTGGAGCACCTTTTCTGATTACACCCATTTCCATGATTCTATTTTATAGGTTCACTCCTCCGCCCAGACCAATCCACAAGGAGCTCTCCACATACATCAGTCTCTACACCAGCTTGGTGGACACCAACCAGGAGAAGATTCGCAGGTTGATTTTATTCATATGCTACTCATAAAAAACTTCATTATCTCTTAACACTTCATTATCTCTTAACACTTTTACAGGATGGATAGAAGCATTTCTGGCCTCCAGGGAAACAGCAGATGTGGTGGCTCAGGTACTCCTGGACCACATCATTCCTTGGTTTGGTGTTCCATGAACCAACCAGATGGACAGTGGGCCAGCCTTCACTTTCAGGGTCATGGAGCTTCTGTCCGAAGCTTTCAATATCTCCTGGAAATTTCACACCCTCTACCATCCACAATCCTCTGGAAAGGTAGAGTGGGCCAACGGACTTATCAAACAACAACTAACCAAGCGCTCTACCTAACTCAGGTTATCTTGGCCCTCCCTTCTCCCCATTGCCCTTACTCGCCTCAGGGCCACTTCATGTTCCCCTAAGGGCCTGAGCCCTTTTGAGCTGCTTTATGGCAGACCCTTTCTTCTTAACCATCACCTCCCAGTCCAAACTCCTCCACTGGCAGGGTACCTACCCTATCTCTCCATTTTAAGGTCCCTTCTCCATTCACACGCTGACAGTTGTCTCCCTGCCCCCACACCAGTGGAACCTAATGCCCATAAACCGGCCCCACTCTCCCCAGGGGACAGAGTACTCCTCAAACAGGTAACTCCTAGGTCTCTCAGACCTCAATGGACAGGATTTTACATGATAATTCTCACCATGTCCTCAGCTGCCAAGCTTCTGGGACATTCATGTTGGTACCATCTCTCCAGGCTCAAGCGGGCACCTACTCAGGACACTTGGTCTGTCCAGCAGACAGGATCTTCCATTGTCCAGTTTTCCAGGATGCCACAATGAAGGGCCTACCTGCTCCTAATCCTGGCACATTCATCTTTGGTGATAACAATATTTTTCCTAATACCTGCCTTCTCACCTCCCACAAGGAACAGATGCCTGATGTCTCTGGGATGACAGTACATGGGATGCCTTTCCAGCCACACCTCTCACTGAGTGTGGACCCACCAACACCTAGCTCTCATCTTCCCCATGTCACCCTATGCCTGCAGGAAGTAGCCAGATGAGTCAATACCTTTTTTTCTTAAGAGAGTCTAGATGTTAGTCAAAATATTATTTTATATTATTATTATGTAAATAATAGTAAAAATAATATAATATATTAGTATTTTATATTATTACATTCTTTCTGTCTCTTTGTTGCAATATTCTTGGAATCATAGAACAAATTGAATTCATGTCTGTTTAGGGATCAGTATTAATCTGCCACTTATTCTCAACACCCTGGATAGATGTGAGTCTCTGTTCACTTGAAAGGAAAGTTTCTTTGATTAAAGATGAGAACAGTGTTGTATTTGGGTGCAAATATAAATGTTTAAGTGGTAGCTTGTTGTTCTGTCAGTTTACCTAAATAACAGTTTTCAGTTCATACTAGGGCCTACGCCTACCGTTTTGTGGATTATTTCCCAAGCATTTACAGAAGTAGACATGAATTTATTTCTGTGGAGTAGTTCTTAAAATCAGAGAGTGATTGGGTACCCCATAAAAGGAACATTATTGTTGCAACAATGGATACATCTTATCTGACAGATTAGTATTCTTGGTCAAAAAGTTTACAACTAATAATATTGTTTATCACCCAGGAATCTGCATAGCACCTTACAAAATTATGAAAACTAGCCAGCCGGGAGAAAACTTCCATGTCAGTTCTAGCTTGATTTCTTTATGTCATTCACCCAAAGTGCCTAGTGCTTTAACAATAGGCTCTTATCATTAGTTTCTGGTGGGAAACCAAAAGAAACAAATGGCAAGAGCCTGTATTATTTGGATGGATGTCTCTGATGCCTCCTTTCCCAATATTATGAGGATATATCTTACTGGTACTATTTTTATTATTTTTAACTTTTAATACCTCATAGCTCCTAAGAACAGTTATATCCAGCCAGGCTGGATATGTCACATCAAGTCGTGTTTTCTTTCTCATGAATTTTGATACAATATAGTAAGTTTGCATGTAAGTCCCTCATCCTTTGGTTTGTTAAACCCACTCCCTCCCCATCATCTACTCCATTCCCTACTTCTTTTCTGCTTAAGCCTTTCCACCTCCAATATTCCCTGCTCATTGAATATTGAAACTTAAAGAAATTATACTTATGAGCCAATTATTGTAGCATATGCCTATAATATAAGCCCTGGGGAGTTAGAGGTAGGCAGATCCCAGTGCTGAGGTCAATCGTGTCTACATAATAAGATCCTCCCTTGTTTAAGGCCCAAATATAAAGAAAACAAAAACTTCATCTAATTTAGAGTATAAATTCTCGATTTTGTTAAAATGATGTCATTCTTTTAAGACGTTGTAAATTCTGTTGGTTACTTTTTAAATAACATTAGTCATTAAATTTAAAATTAGTCATTAAATACAGTTCAGTATTTTTATTATATTAATATGGTTAGGTTATTCAAGCACCACATGAATTCTGGTGTGAATGTTCTTTTTACCTCCAAATAAATTCCATTATTAGAAACCAAATGTTGTATTGTCTAACCTAATAATTTGGTATAGCATGCATTACTTTTTGTAATGTTAAATACTGCATAAAATGAAACACATATGGTGTTCCCTTACATTTATGACATATTTAACTTAGTACAATGGTTTTAAGGTTTATCACATATAGAAGATATAATAGTACCTCAAATGTTTTGTGGCTGAATAAATTCCACAGCTTGCACGTATTATAATTTGCTTATCCATTCTCCAGTTTGCATTTAAATCACACATAATTTTAGACTGCTATAAGTAGTGCTAACATTTATACCCAACTTTTATGTTGAAATATATTTCAATTCCACTAAAGAATGAAATCAATGATTCAGGATGACTCTGCCTAAATACTGTTGTTCAAAGAGCCTTCACTCTTTAACCCTCCTGCTAGCAAAGTCTGAGGGTTGCCATTGGTACCAAACAACTTCCCTGACTTTTGAATTCTCAACATTCCAAAACGGCCAGGGCAGTGGTGGAGCACACCTTTAATCCCAGCACTCGGGAGGCAGAGGCAGGCAGGTCTCTGTGAGTTCAAGGCCAGCCTGGTCTACAAGAGCTAGTTCCAGGACAGGAACCAAAAAGCTCCAGAGAAACCCTGTCTTGAAAAATTTTAAAAAAAATTCCAAAACGTATAAAATAAAACCATATTGCTATTTCAATTTTTATCTCTATTTCAAATAATGTTGAGAATCCTTTCTACTTGTAACAGGACATCGATACATATTCTTAGAAGAACTTCTGTTTAAATTATTTTTATGTTATATAATTGGATATTTTACTACTTTTTATAGGTGAGTTTCTTTCAGATATCTTAGATGAACATTCTTTAAAATGAGCCATTTTAAATATATTCTTCTATTCTCTTGATGTCTTTTTCATGTTGTAAGTTTTATAAATTTAGACCTTAATACATTTTGGATTAAAATTTGTTTAAATATGTGTTCAAGTTTTTTTTTATAGTTATCCCACCCTTGTTAAAAAGATTATCTGTTCTCTGGTTTGTTTATTTTTTTACATTATCAAAATTAAGAAAAATGCATAACATCGTTTCCTTACAATAAATTCTATTTTATTAATTCACATGTGAATTTTCATGCAGTGTTGTACTCATTACTGTTGGTTTGTTCTATATTATAGGTTTATAATAAACCACAGGTTTGTATAATACTATATGTATAATAGTAGTATATATAGTGCATATATTATACTATACTACAGGGTTTGTACTGTACTGTAGGTTTTTACTGTGTGGTTGTCTATATGTATACTGTATAAAGTAGGTCTGTACTATACTATGGGTCTATAATTTAGGTTTTTACGGTATGACAGGTCTATATTATACTGTAGGTCTGTACTATACTATGGGTCTGTACTCAATTGTAGGGTTGTATTATATGGTAGATTTACACTCTACTGTAGGATTTTAGTGTAGGTTTCTTATAGGTTTGTGCTACAAAATTGTCATAAATTCTGCCTCAGGGAATGTGAGTGGTTGAATTTTTTTTCATCCCTATAGTATTTTAAGATGAACATTCATTTCCATAAAAACTAAGTTGAGATTTTTGAGAGTAATAATGTGGGTGACATTCTATCTGAAAAAAAACTATAAATGCTTTCATTCTGACAGAGATGGGCTTCCATAGATGCACATTTATAATTTCTCTCAGATGGTGGTCATATATCTTGCTAAGCAAGCTCCATATTTCATCTTATTCCTCTGATGACATTATGCTTGCGATTGTTTCCTCTTTATAGTTTAGAATTTCATTGCCATTGCATGCATTTAATTTTTGTATTTTGATCATATATCCTCTGGTCTTAAATATCTTTATGAGCTTTTATGTTGCCCAGTGGAGTCCTTTGGATTCTGTGTATTTCTGACAGTCTCATTCATAAAATATATACTGATAGTACGGGCATTGTGTTTATACTTTTAAAATATGCCAATATATACAAAATAAAGACAAAATAAAAAATGTACAAAGAACAGGAAAAATAATAGAAGGAAGGCATTTCTTTTTTCAAGGAAAGCTTCCTTCTAGCTGCCCTCCTCCATGAACACACTCCTAGTTTCAGTATAGAAAAATGAGACATCCTGCTTATCTGTTACTATGTTCGCTCTAAGTGGGAGACGATAACATTATTATAGTGTAGTAGTGAAGGTTTCCTAGAGGGACAATACCAATAAAATGAATGAATATTAAAATACTTCTTATTAGATTGATTTATAATAGACGGTCTTTTTAGTCCAGCATTGGCTAGATTATTACTAGACGGACTGAGGGCTTGGTTAGTGCTGACCACACAGAGCTGGCTGTGTCAGCACTCTCAACCTGCTGCCTGCCTGAGGTCCTGACGATTCTGGTAGGGGCACTAGTCCTCAGTCCACATTCAAAGAACAAAGAAAACGCACTCTTATATCGGCGAAGGAAGTTAGTCACAGCAGCAGGGCTGAACGTGATAGATGTGAAGGCAGAGTGAAACAAAGAGCAAAGCTTTTTTTGTGCTCTGTTTCCATTTTATCTGGGTGGCCCCCAGAAGATACCACCATTTAGGATAAATCTTCCCAATTCAAATAATCTAAACAAAAAATTATCTCACAGATGTGTCAGGGAGCTTATTTCTTAGTTGATTCAAGAGTGTGTAAATTGACGGCAAAGATTAGCTAACACATATGGGTACATTCTTCTCTTTGGAAAGTGAAAGTCAGAAGCTAAGCTAAATATGGCACATAGATGTTATATACATGTTCAAATATTTTGCCCAATAGTAGCTTTGTATAAGGACAAGTAATATTAATATTTCAAAAAAAACTAATTGGGGGAAATCACAATAGCCTAATTGTAAGTTAATGTCTTTAAACTTTGGCTACACTTACCTGTCATTCTTTCTTTCTGGAAGATAATACTTAAGAAACCCTCTGGATGTTTGTCTTCCCATATAAACTAGCAGGTAAACATGAATGATTTGCTGAAAATCCACTTTAACCTAGTCACTGTTGTTTCTTATCTTTTTAGTTACAGAAAGAGTCTTATAGCTGCTGCATTGACCGAAAATGTCATTGCATGAAAATTTTGCATTTGCATAAATTTTCCAGAATAATGCCTGGCCATTCTTAAAGTGGCAATTACATACACATCAAATCCTATACTGTCTGAATCATCCCTGCATGAAAAATAATACAGGTGCAGAAAGAAAATATCAATCAGGCATGTTTCCAATTCAGTCTTAGGAATATTTAAATTTTGTAGATGACACAGTATTTATTAAGGAACGATAAACCAAAATGTTTGAAGATGTATTCCTTGAAACTGGGCTTCACAACTCTTCATTTTGATTGCTTGTGGTTTGCTCTAATGGTCTATACCTGGCACAAAGAGAAGTTTCCTTGGCAATGACTGTATTTAAATGTGAGTATAAGGACAGTTATTTAGCATGCAATTAGGTATTTTGTTAGTTTAGTAAAATGGTGGTTGTAGGTTCTCCAAGGTCTATGATCTCTCTAGCCCTGGGAAGTTTGAAGGTTTTGAGTACCAGGCATAATTTTCCTATTACTGAGTGTGCCTAGATACCTATTGGTTATGGATGATGTATATGTGCCACTATCACAACCTTAGAGTTATCATGTTACTCTGGTTGTGGGTGTCTTACCTTGGTAATAGTATTAGTTGCTTCTCTCTTTTAGAAGCATCTATTACCCCTTTTAGTACCATGAAGCTACCTTTCATGCAGGACGCTTTTAACTATATTACAGATCAGGTGTCTCTAAGTGAAGACCAGGAAAGCAAAGCAGCCAGCCACTGACTCTTACCTTGACCTCAGTCTGAAAATGGTGATCCTGTCTCTAGGAATCTCAGAATGAGACTGTGACTGAGAGCTGTCTCCTCCTGTTTGATAATCCTCTCTAGTTCTGGGATTAAAGACGTGCACCAGTACTGCCTGGTTTTTATGGCAGAGGAGTATGGTTACTGCGATTAAAGGAGTGTCTCATTGCTGCCTGGTCCGTAAGGCTGATCAGTGTGTGATTGTTTGGCTTTTCTTACCTTCAGACAAGCTTTATTTATTAAAATACAAATAAAATACCACAACATCTAGGCTCTGTGTCTAAAACACATAGTGTCCTCAGCTACAGAAACTTACCTTCCGCCTCTGCAGCTGCTTATACACTCTTAAGTGTAAGGCCATTCACTGGAGCACATTAGGTCTCCCAGGGGTTACACCATGAAAGAAACATGACGCCTCTTCACCCAGCAGCTGACACTTACCAATAGATCTCCAACTAGAGACTTTGCCTCTACTTTTTCTTTCCATGCTGGGGTCTTTCTGTCTTGTGCTAATACGTACCTTGTGCTTGCTGCCATGACCACTACGAACTCATATGTGCAACTACTCTAGTGTCTTGAAATCACTGTGTCTCTGTAGTCATCCACTGCCCCTGGCTCTCGCGGTCTTTCCATTGCCTGATTTACAATTATTCCTAAACCTTTGGCTTCCCCTCTCAGTCCTACACCCAACACAACCTTCCTGATCCCTCAGGTTCTTTTCCCTACACCTCTTCTTCCCTCAGCCCTCCCCACACACTCCCTGGGCCCACACAAAACCACTTTTCTAAAGATATTTTGTCTACTTCACCTTCCTGGGGTATCCATGTATGACTCTCTTAGGGTTCTCCTTGTTTCCCGGAGAGATAATTTTTCAAAGAAGACGACTGAGCATGACACCTGAAGCTGTCTTTTGTTCTATTAGGGGATGTTTACCTGTGGTTTTGTCATCATCTCTCTTTGATTTTACATTTTGTAGGCAGGAATTTTAGCATGTTAAGGACAATTTCTCAATTTTCTATTAATTGTGTTGCTTTTAATAAAAAGGATCAGAAGAGTTAGTAGCAGAATGGAAGTATCTATCATGAACTGGATTGTGAAGATGACAACAGAGAATGGTTTCTGTACTAGTGGATAGTAGCTGTGTATGCTTAAGAAACGATCTGCCAATCTGTGATTTAGACTTCATACCGTATTTTAAAATAATAAGTAAGAGCCCCCATAAAATTTTACTCAGATTATGACAAATTATTGTATTTAAAGGATCAGCAATAATATATAGTTCTTTTTCAAGGTAATTATTTTTAATTAATTTATTGTTTATTTCATTTTATATTGTAATCACAGATTTCCTTCCCACTCCTCCTTACCACCTCCCCAGTCTACCTCCCATCCATTTGTTCCAGCAGGTAAGAGCACTATTATTGGGGGCGGGACCAAGACCCTTCCCCCTGCATTAAGGCTGAGCATGGCAGGGAATGGGCTCCAATAAACTAGCTCATGTACCACTCCTTCTGCCAAATGCCCCTCACAGAGTTCAAACTTCATCAATGTCTCCAACATATGGAGGGCCTAGTTCAGTCCCATGGAGGCTCCAGAGCTGTCTGTCTAGAGTTCTTAAAGAAATTTTATAATATAGCTATTTGAATTGTGATAAATATATATTAAAGTTATATTTATGTTTGCTTCTATAAAGAAACTACAAATCCAGTATAAGCTTCTATTAAAGATCAAATTATCAGCTACAGACAGCAATGATATAAACTCAAGATGAAAGGCAGAAGTGCAGGTGGCCTCAACTCTATGAAAATAACTATAGGCAACTGTAGACTTCAGAGAGTGAGACAATGAGCTTTCCTAGGAAAGAGAACATCAACTGGTTATTCAACATCAAATTGTCAGTTTTGAAAATATACATAAAATTAACAGTATACGGATTGTATTTATATGCTTAGTAATATACATGCATATGTGTGTAAGAGGGGAAAGAGAGACAGAGGAAGAGAATTAATTTTAAAAAGTGCTTACAAATTTGATAGAGAGCAATGGCAAGCATATGGGAAGGTTTGGGGGGAAGAGAAGAAGGGGAAAATTGATGGAATTATAATCTTAAAACTAAGAAATAATTTAAACAAATTTCAGTCACAGGTTGCAAATTGCAGTCACACTCAGACTGCATATGAGAATCTAATATTAAACATGTATCTTCTTATACCAAGTTCATGTTTTTACCTTAATTCTGTAAGCGTCCTACATTGTACATTTTCAAAACATTAAGAGTTACTACTTCTGTGAATGAAATGATACATAAATTATTATTTTTAATCTTTTACAAGATCACATTAAAAGCCTTTTATGTGAGGGCTAATTTTCATTATTTGAAAACAGATTTGTGTTCTCTGAATTTAATAACTAGTAGAAGAGAAGAAAACAAATCAAAGTTTAATGACATATAGTTTAATTTTCTCTTCAAAACGATAACAAAAAACTAGTCTAACATCATTGATGTAACCCAGGATTGAAGTGAAAGGAAGATATTCTAGATGGATTCTTGTTTGAGGGTACACAGATAGTACTATAAGACTGGATGCTTTAAAATTTTCTCAATGGACAAATGAAAAGAGTGACTAAGGTATGTTGCAGTGATTTTGGCATTATTTATGGCTTATCACTGAATGACACTATTCATGTGACTTGAGTTTTTAAAACCTTGGGTAGGGCTTGGAGTGGATGAATAAAAGACAGATGTGCAGACACAGGTGCAATGAAGCTGAGATTAGATGTGGTTCTCTAACTGATGAAACCAGAGCCCCAGTGTCTCTATTAGGTAAAGCATAGAGGGAGGGGTTTATTAGACACGTAGGAGTCTCTATGTCAATAGTTTCAGCCTCTAAATTCCTGGAAAGAGGCAGTCACAGTAAACCTCTCTCCTCTTCTTCCTCTTCCTCATTTTTCCCTGTGTCTTCTTTTAATAGGCACATGTATGTGATGTGTGTGTATTAACACATGTCCACTGGCGTGTGAGTGTATGTATAAGTATGAAGGAGGATGCGCATACATGACTGTGCTCCTTTATGTGGAAGCCCAAGGTCATCATGGGAATCTTGAGTTCTCTTCCACTTTGCACGGTGAGACAGGGTCTCTAAGACAAACAGAGAGCTTTCCAATATGATCAATACGTTTTATGAAGCAACTTGCTCCAGAGATCCCTTGTCTCTGCTTCCTGAGGTTAGAATAACAAGGTGAGCTACCCATACTCGGCCCTCATATTTCTGCGTTTGAGGGATATAAATATGTGCCCTCTTGGTTGCACAACAGTAACTTTGTCCACTGAGCAATCTCTCCATGATGTGACCTTCTGTAGTACTCTTACTAGTTGTCTCTTGAGTATAGGCTCTCTGCAGATGTTTACTTTCTGTTTGGATGTTCACACTGGATGAGTAGAGAATTTTGACTGTTCCGTGAGATAGAAAATGCATGATTAAATTTTACAAACTTTGAGGATTTTCTAAGTCAGATTTAGTGGGACAGAGAATCAAGTTTTAGAATGACCTAGGGCTATGCATGGGCTAATTAATAGTGCATTTCTTATACATATGCCCAAATGTTTTAACTAATATTATGTTTCCCGTGAAAGGATTAATTTGTTAACTAAGGAAATATTTACATCTTTCAAAATAATCAAAGGAGAAACCCTGACTTTCAACTCCACCAGGGGATCACAGAGAGCTAATGGCTAACGGCTATTCTGTTATTACAGCTGCATTAACATATTTCTTTTCTGATATGAAGAAAATTCCCCTCAGCATGGCACTGCCTCTTCCTCCCAGCTATTTTAGTGATGTTTTGTTTTGATATATAAAAGTAAATCATGAATCATATTAAAATAGAGTATGCTAAAGACAGATTCATGTACTCTTTTCTGTAATCCTTCTAACAAGATGTAACATTGTGACTTCCCATCAATTTATACAGATCTAATGCATGACACTTGAAAGAGTCAAAGAAACCACATTCATGGTGATTTCTGTACAAACAGAAGCACATTAATACAGCATGGAACCACGGAATGAGCTGGCGTATTGCACGGAAGACACCACTCTCCTCCAAACAAATGGTGTGTTAAGTTCAGCTGCCATCGCACGGACAGAACCGGGAGTTCACCTTAACTGCATAATGACTGAATAGAAATTCACTGTGATTCCATCGGGGAATGCAGGTTTTAGAACTTCTGTCTTCCTAAACATAACAGCTTACTAAAAAGAAATTGTATATTAACCCCTTTGCTGGTGATTATTTTAAAAGGAATAAAATAATAAAATTTTCGGCTTTGTTAAAAAAAAAAGTACTTTGGTGAGTTCCCAATAAAACCGGACTCGCTGAACATAGCGGACAATGAGGACTACTGAGAACTCAAGAACAATGGCAATGGGTTTTTGATCCTACTGCACGTACTAACTTTGTGGGAGCCTAGGCAGTTTGGATGCTCACCTTACTAGACCTGGATGGAGGTGGGTGGTCCTTGGACTTCCCACAGGGCAGGGACCCTGATTGATCTTTGGGCTGACGAGGGAGGGGGACTTGTTTGGGGGAGGGGGGGGGGAATGGGAGGCAGTGGCGGGGAAGAGACAGAAATCTTCAATAAATAATAAATAAATAAATAAATAAACAAATAAATAAATAGAGAGATGTCACACCAAAAAAAAAAAAAAGAGTACTTTTCTGAGAAAATAAACATCCAATATTTGCACTTTTATTAGCTAGTCTCATCACAGAGAAATAGCTAAAAATTTTTCTAGTTCTGCCCTGTTATTTTTATTTTTTCATTTTTGTTTGTTCATTTGTTCATTTTGCTACCAGAAGTGGAAAACTCTAGGAAAAATAATGATTGTCCAAAAATGTTCCACAATTTAGAAAAATATCATAGAAAACTAGTGTCTCCTAGCTTTTTATTTTGAATATTATATTCAAAGTTAAATGGTTCCTGATGTTAGGTTTGAGTTTTCCTTTTTGTTGATTGAGCACGTTGATTGTTAAGTTTTTATATTTAGGAAGAGATATCTAAATTTCTTCAGAGTGTCTGTCTACTTTTTGTTGACAGGATTCAAAATGTTTCTATTGGAACCATTTATATAGTCACGCTCATGTCAATGTATATGTGAGTAAGCATACTGTTAAAATGAGGAAGTATGTCGTGCAGCCTTCTGGATGAGCTGTGGTTAAGAGCTTTCCAAAGCCATATGCTATGCTATATAAACTAACTTCATAGTCACTGAAAATACAAGAAGCGAATCTTAATAAAGATCGAGTGGACTTTTCCCTCCAACTGCCTGTATAGTAGATAATATTAAAGTGTATGCTTATCAGTATGTCTGCTGTATTTGTGTGTGCATGTGATGTAGTATCATTAAATATTAACAAACCAGAATCTAATGTTTTCATAGATTACTTATTAGGAATTAATTATCTAAAATACCAATCTCAAATTTAATTTTTTGGAATATGTGTAATGATACCTTAAAATAGTATTTTTATTGATTCTTTGAAAATTTTATAAATTTATACAATGTATTCATTCCCTCTTCTTCCCCACCGGAGCCCACTAACCCATTTCACTCCAGACTTCATATCTTCTCTTAAATTATTGGTATAATTATGTATTTTTACTATTAATATTAGCCTCTTTAGTCAAAATAGTGCTAACCAAGTGTGACTGGATTAGAAGACATACACTAGGGCATGAGTTGCCCACCATCACCTATATTCCCAAAGAAAATCTGCATGTTCCATGTGCAGAACAAAGTTGTTCAGGATCTAGGAGAAGAGTGGAACTTGTTGGTCAAATATATGTCAAACATTTGGAATGGTAAGTAGTTCTATCCTTTTATGAGATAATTTGTTCTTTTCAGAGCCTATGACCTCAAGGTATTGGGTACATCAACACATAACCTAACCAAACTATGAACACTGAATAGATGTATCATGGTTTTCACCAAGTCTGTAGTTGTTCAAAATTTTAACAATCTTTATTCTTTTTATCAACTAAGAAAAGATGTGCCTACGCTCATAACATCACTATTTTCCTCTTACCTTAGGAATGTTGATGAACTGTGTTGTTTTCTTTATTTTGTTCTTACCTTCCAGAACATTAAGTACATTAACTTGAGTGGTGTTATGGAATATATTGATTTCATCTTACTCAGTCACTCAGTGCTGTGAGCTATGCACACATATTTTAAAAATTCCATAAAATATAAATTTTAGCATATATAACATCTGGTATTTAGGTATAAACAGATGGCTCTACTGCAGATGTTTTTAAATGTTTGGCTACTGATCCATTGTAGATCATAAATCATGATTGCATCTAGAAGACAGATCTAATGTGTAAGAAAATTAATGTAAAAGTTTCCTAGCATTCATAGAAAACTGTACTGGTTTTTCACACATACACACAGATACATGAATATATATTTAAAGAATAGCTAATCTACATTTAACTAGTCACTTTTCATATACCTTTTGTCTTATACTCAAAGGATATAAAAGACAAATAGACAAGCCAAATATATTATTAAGGAAGCTATCAAGCATACACAATGGTTACTACTGTTAATTTAAAACTTTGAAGTGATGATCCCTTTCTTAAAACAATTTGAGATAAGTTCATTTTTTTTCTCCATTTTTCATCAGGTGTATGAGTGTTTGTGGGCATGAATATCTGTGCAACACATACAATGTCTATGGAGGCTGGAAGAGAGAATCAGATTCCTCAGGACTGCAGTAACAGATGGTGGGAGTTGCATCATGAACTGTGGGAATCAGACCCACATCGTCTGGAAAAGCAGCCAGTGTCCTTCAGCACTGGGCTGTTTATCTAGACCAAAACCACTTGTATAAATATGCATAACTATTTATATATGAAATAATTATATATAATTCATATATAATATATAAATTTCAGAGCTCAATATACTATGAAAAAATAATATATGCTCCACACAAAGCCTTGTCATATTGTGTATATTTTATTACAAGCTTGCATTATTAGGGTAACTAGAAGAAGAGATGATGGATAGACTGGATATTCTAGTTTTAGACATCAGGAATATGGATTATTTTTTAAAAAATATTTATTTATTTATTATGTATACAATATTCTGTCTGTGTGTATGTCTGCAGTCCAGAAGAGGGCACCAGATCTCATTACAGATGGTTGTGAGCCACCATGTGGTTGCTGGGAATTGAACTCAGAACCTTTGGAAGAGCAGACAATGCTCTTAACCGCTGAGCCATCTCTCCAGCCCAGGAATATGGATTCTTAAAGTTCAAATATAACATATAACTTTGCAAATAATCTTTAATGAAGTTTTCAAGATATATTCATCAACTTTCATGTTGATCTACATCTCAAATATCCAATAGTTATAACCTTAGTTGTCTTGATATTAAATAAGAACCTATTCTTATTAGACCTTCGACAAAGTTATTTCTAAAACTTTTACAAACATAAAGACCAAGTGAACATTCTAGACATCTTGTGTTAACATACTTGACAGTTGAATTATTATAACATCTTACTCTTGTCTTCATTTTCCTCATGAGCATTTTACTGCCTACACCTGATGAAGGTTTAATAATGCATCTGAAATTTTGCATAAGAGCCATGAACAATGTACATGGTTGTAGCAAATTTTTAAAAATTTTGTGCCACATAGAGTAAATCTCACAGACATTTAGAAATAGATGATAAATAAAAGTGTAAATTTATAGGGAATGAAGTACAAAACTATATAGAGTGAGGTAAATAGGAAGCCCCAGAAAAAGAAAGTTCAGAGTTATGTGTTCTTTGGATTTTATAATGCATTAAAATGGTAATTTGTAAAGTTTATAAAAAATGTGGTTTATGGTTGATTATAATGAATCAAGACAGGCAGATGTGTAGACATGTTTCTCCATGTTGTTGATTACTAATGTTTATCTTCTAGGAACCCATTCATTGCTCTATCTCTCCTTGCTCCTGTGATAACGGTTTAATAAACTAAGGTTCACTATTTGACTGACTAGCCTGTATTTTTTTATTTTTAATTATTTTTATTTATTTTTTGTTTTTTATTTTTTTCCATTCAAAAATTTACACTTCCTCCCCTCCTCTCATTTCCTTCCTGCTGCCCCACTCACCCTTCTCCCTCCTCCTCCCTCCTTAAGAGAGGGCAGGGAACCCTGCCCTGTGGGAAGTCCAAGGCCCTCCCCCTTACATCCAGGCCTAGGAAGCTTTGCATCCAAATAGACTAGGGTCCCAAAAAGCCAGTACAAGAAGTAGAAACAAGTCCCAGTGTCTTTATCAATGGCTTCTCAGTCAGCCCCATTGTCAGCCTCATTCAGAGAGTCCCGATCTCATGCTCATTCAGTCCCGATCCAGTTGGATTTGGTGAGCTCCCATTAGAAAAGGTACACACACTGTCTCAGTATGTGGACCAACCGTTCAAGGTCCAGACATCCTTGCTATTCTTCTCCCTCCTTCTGCTCTTCAACTGGACTTTGGGTGCTCAGTCCGTTGCTCTGATGAGGGACTTTGTCTCTATATCCATCTGCTGCCTGACAAATATTCTACGGTGATATTCGAGATAATCATCAGTGTGATTGTGGGGCAAGGACACGTGTTTCTTATAGGAATATGGATAAAGGAGTTGCTTACAGGAACAGAAATGGCTCAAAGACAATTCCATCACTAAAGCCCAACCCAACATGTTGACAATTCATCAAATCTGTAAAGCTAAAGCATACTGCATGACATTAAGACAGCTCAACTGGTTGGAGAATGACCTTTACAGGTATCTCAATAGGTCTGAGCTTTTATGTTTATGACTCAGCTGCCTTCTGCTTCTTCAAGTGAGAGCCTCAACTAGACAACTTCCCTTCAAGATGGAAGGTTTTAATCTTAGGGGAAACTGCTGCATAACATCACCCATCATCTATCTTTCTTCCAATATGTCTGTCTGTCTAATTTTTAATATTTCTTTATATAAATATAAATCATTTGTCTCTCCATATCTATACCTACACATGCTGAGTGTGTTGTACCTTTAGGTAAAAATGGTTTTCTGGCACCTAGGATATGCTTTTTTTAAATTACATATCAAAAAAAAAAACACATTTTTCTCCTGGTAAAGAGTGATCTTGGAGTGTTCTCTTTTAGAAGTCAGAGCACTTGATTCAGCATTTCAAGATAGAACTCGTAGTGCTTTTATATTAATAGAAAACACAAATAACATTTCACAGAACTGTAAAAATCAAACAAGAATGTGCAAATACACGCTTCTTTAATTTTTAAAAGAAAGTATAACTGATAAAAATTATTATTTACTTGATAGTATAACAATATTTGAGTCTCTACACATGTCTAAGGCAACCACACTGAATTTAGACTGGGCTGTTTTGCTGCACAAAAATCTTGGTACGATGGTTAAAAAAAATGTCTATTTATCAATTTTTGTTAGAGTGAGAAAATCCTTAGCCTAACAGTTAACTTAGTTTCTTATAGGAAAATA